TGGTGTTATTTTCATTATTAGAAAAATGCCAAGCATACCATATTTGGCGAAAACGGGTCTCTACTCATCACTTGGGCAAAAATTGGGGTTTCAATTGTTCTGTCTGTGGACCAGTATTCATCCCTATTCTCCTTACGAACTCTGCCCATAAGCAAAAGTAATCCCAACATTTTTTTTAATTCTACCGCAGATACGTCTTTCCATTTCAAAGATTTTGCACTGTCTTTAAAACGATCAATATTTTGTGAATGATAACGATTACTTTCTTCGGCCATATAGTCAAACAAATCATTACCCAAAAATAGCTGAACCACTTCACTTACACTTTGTGGATTATTTGGTTTCAAAACCACGCCACTTTGACCTAAAAATGGTTCAATATTCGGAGGATTGTCAAATTCTGACCACTCCACTTCTTCACTGTCACTACCTTCAGAATCACTAGACATAATCGGTAAAACTCTACGTCTTCTAGGATTAAAAAAATCTTCATCACTCTCACATTCACTATCAAAATCAGGGATATCCAAATCACTTCCAATTTGTGACAAATTATCGGCGTAAACCTCACTATCGCTATCCGATGCCATTATTTTATTATTGCAAATAATAATTTAAAAAAGAGATGTTGAACCGTATAAATCTTACTAATAAATGAAGTATTTTATAAAATATATATTGAACACCCTTTTGTTGTAAATTCTGCATATTTATCTTCAAAATAAATTGAACATAAAAAGAAACTTGAAGATAAAACATATTGTTTCTTATCCTTATCCTAATTCTAAAAGTCTTACAATACCAAATATCAATTGAATCTCGAAAAAAGTACCAGCTATTCTTTCAATATCATATGCAAACCGATCCGATAAAAGTATTTTCACCCGCTTTCAATGTTAGTTTATTCAAAGCGTAATAATACCATGCCCGCTGATAAGCAACAATCCTCGCAGAACGTAATTTTACGGGGCCCGCTTATAGTGTGTTAACATTGTTTTAAATTGTTTGGGATTTTTTGAATTATTTTTGTGTTGATTAAGGCGTTTACTCAGGTTTTGGCTAGTTTCTCCAATATAAAAGAGTTCGCAATTAGAGCAATTAATTTGATATACTAACTACTTGGTATGTAATTGGTATGTAATGTGATATAATAACTACTTGGTATGTAATTGTGATGCAACCCTTAGTTCAATTTTTACACAAATGAAATCTAAGTTCAATTTTGACCGGCTCAGGAATTTAGTATATCAAATTAATTGCTCTAATTGCGAACTCTTTTATATTGGAGAAACTAGCCAAAACCTGAGTAAACGCCTTAATCAACACAAAAATAATTCAAAAAATCCCAAACAATTTAAAACAATGTTAACTGAGCATATTAAAAATTTAAATCACAATATCGATTTTTTTAACCCTAAAATTTTACATTTTGAAGAGAATACAATTAAAAGAAGATTCGCTGAGGGGTTGTTTTTACAATTACATAACGACAAAGTGATAAACGCTTTGACAATACGGCCCTGAACGAAGCGAACACGTGGTTTCTTAATAGCGTGTCAAAATTCCTTAAAAAATAACAAAATCCCATCGCCTTTTAAATTTTCCAAAAAATATCAACACATGCTAAAAACTACTTTGAGAAAGTTGTGACATTTCTATCCTAAACTCCGAAGAGTAAATACATAGTTTCGACAACTTGTCAAGTTATCATGATTATTAGTGTGTTTTACCATTTGTGATGTTTGTGTTAAAAAATACATATCTTATCAATGTGCACATACTCATACCATGGATTAATAATGGTTTCATATGCTATATTAGGATACAAAATTGTAAGTGTTTTATTACTATTATTATTATTATTGTTTTTCCATGAAATTTCCTTTCATATAATTTATTTAGTTTCAATTTTTATAGTTAACTTGATTACCACTGAATGATGGCTAAGATGCTAGCCGAAACGTATGGATTTTAAATAAATAAAATTTTTTAAAAAAACTCATACTATTTTTATTGATGTTACGCCCGAATATTAAACTCAAATTAAACATATATATCAACATCAAATTCAAGAATATTCAAAAATATATATATATATATATATATATAGGTGTGTATACAATATAAATTTCCATAGATAAGTATTCTGTATAAGTTGTTGATAAATGACAACAAAAAAATATTTAAAAACCATGCATAAACTTTTTGATAGTACTGACCATAGCTAGTAACCTTTGTGCTATATTTTCCAGATGGTGGTATATACATTTTCTGTCCATTAGCATAAGCAGAACCTTGTCGTCTACTTTCAGATGATGCAACATTACGTGTTCTTTTTATTGGTGAAGATTCAAATGTAATTGGTGTATGCCTCTTGAAATTGGAACTTTTAATAGTATTATATTCAGGTTCAACTATCTAAAAAATAAAGTATTGAAATCATAATTTCTGCAAATACAACAATTAGGATTAAATGTCAATAAAAGAAAGATAATTTTCAATAGTTGCACATATAGAATAGTAAATTCAATATTTTGAAAGCTTGATGTCTCGGTTCTTATTATTAATCTTTAACATAAATAATAATTTAGTGTGAAATCAAGTATGAAGATTTTATGCATAAATTTAAAACCCTTCAGACACAATTTATAAAAATTTATTTTGAAGAAAGATAATGGTTATTGAAGTGTTTACTAACTCTTTGTCTTTTTGAACCAGGTAAAATCCAAGACAAAGTAATTTGACTTTTGTAACTAGGTGGTGTATGAAATAAATCTTTTATTAAAATGTTGATATTTGAAGTAGTCCTTAATGCCGCCACTTTCAATTGATTCTCTTCACTTTTTAGTTCTGCATCCGTTTTTCCCTGTAACAAAAAAATCACATTTTTTAAATGATATTTATATGATAATAAAGTAACTTTACTTAAAATCTACCCTACAATCAGACACTATGTGCAGATGTATGCAAAATTCGTGATCAATGTTTTAGCCAGAAAGTTCAAACAATTTTGAAAACTAAAAAATTCTTCATAATTTATAAAAAAAAACTTTTGTCATAATTTTAATGAAACTTTGAATGGCAAAGATGTTTATTAACCTAACAAACATCCTAAAATATTATGTACCTAAAAAAGTGAATTCATTATAAAAATTCATTGATTATTGGAATAATGAGCCACGTTTTTTGGACGTTAAACGATGTCATAAGAGTTCTTACAATTAGTAAAATACACTATTATAAAATATTATAATTTACACATATCAACAAGTTTATGAAAATCACCTAAAACACACACAGCAAAATACAACATACACAGTTATTTCTTTTATTTGAACTTTACTGATTTAAAAGCATAAAAATTCACTATTAACATCTGTGAATTAATTAGGTTCTATACTAATTTCTTTTTAGTTAAATTGATTGATTAAGTAAAAATAATGACAATTTTGTTCAAATATATTGATATAGCGTTATGTCTATTTTTATTATTAATTATTGTCCAAAATATGCAGCATACCTTAAGAGCATCCTTCAATATTTTAATATAAGCCTGCACTCCTCTGGCAAAATATTGTAATCGCACTCTAAAATCTTTCAATGCTTCTCCTTGCATAGATTCTTCAATGACAGCAGTAGTTTTAGAAGCCATTCTCATTAAAGAATGATATGTGTAAAGCAAACATTCAACATGTGAAAATTGCAAAGATGGAGACTCTGTAGTTGTATCACAGTCAGGAGGTATTGGCATGTAATCCTAGAACAAAATAACTATTAATTGTAATTTTATTATGTCAATTTTATTCTGAAATCTGTTTTTTTTACAAACAATAAGCAGAAACTATTGACAATAAAATATATGACATTATTAACTAAAAAATAACCTCACCCAAGAGCGTATCTACTATGAATATAGCATATAATAATAGAAACAACAAAACAAAATTTAAAATAATCAATAAAATACAAGAAAATAAAAGTATTTAACTGGACTAAATGGGGTCCTGTGGCAATTTTCTTTTAAACCTGGCCTTATATATTTGTATTTTATTGTAATTTGATAGTTCAGAATTTCAGTTTAGGGGAGAATAATAATATTTGAAGAGTTGATCTACTTGTTATCTTTCGTTCTTTATGTGTATTATCCAATTCAATTTCCTATCCAAGTGAAAATTTTGAATATGCGAGACAAAGTAATTGGCCTGTAGGAAAATAATAGATGGGAGTATTTTCTTGGTTTAGGTATAAGGGTTTTTCGCACTTTTGAAAAACCGTGAAAAAGTTTTCATTCTCAATATAGAAATGAGTGCAAGTTCTTTTAATACTTTAACACCTTGAAGACCGCATGACCACCGATGAGCACGCGATATGGATTATCTGGAATAGACAATATTTGGTGCGGCCTCTACGAGTAAAGCACGATTATTGATGCGGCTCGCCACTCGCTGAAAGATTACGTAAGTAATTTTCTAAAAAAACATTTTTATAATTTATTATTAAGGTCTATATGCACGCAGTGTTAAATTTTGGTCAATTGTATGTAGTCAGTGTAAAAAGTCTCGGAAATTAGCATTAAATTATCCACGTCATTGATCAATAAGAAAATGCGCGAGTTCATCAACATGAGTGCTCAAGCTGTTCGAATTCCAGACATTCTAAGTTCAGACCTCCAACAGGTTGTTAAAGTTCAAAACATTGTAATTGATAACTTTGTTTAAACCTATTTTTGTTAGGGGGTTGTTAATAATAATAAGCTATTAAAAATTGTATAAAATTTTCAATAGACAAAGTTAGAAGAGAAAGAAAATAGATTATATATAAAATCAGCACAGTAAATTAAAAAAATACAAACCAATAAAACGTTGTATACTCTTTGAGCTCTCTTTTCCGGAATATCTAATGAATGGCAATGCACCATCAGTTCTGATAAAGCCTTGAGTAAGTCCAATTGTACTTCTGTGCTGCTTGTATTTAGTAGAACATCTTTTGATGAAGTCAACTGATTGAATACAGGAAGCACTTTATCACATATGAATGCCACAAATCGAGATGAATCCACTTGAGACTATAAATATCATCAGAAAAACTTCAGTGCATACAGTAAAATGTAAAGATTAACCTATATTGAACCAATAATTAACTTTCTGAAGGGTAAGTTATAGTAAACGAAAAAAAGACTGGTCGTGCATGTCATCGTGCCTTAAGGCAAATTGCTGGAACTTCCCGTATCGTAATGAAATAGTCGAAAATTTTTAAATGTTTCCAAATACATATTATTATGAATTCTATAACTTTCATTATTCGTATTTTGTAGACAAAATATAAGAGCTTATATATTGTACGTTTATATATGTTTACATGAAAAGTAAAAAAAAAAACAAGCAGTGTTAGAATTATAGGACCTTATTTCACTTTTCAGAGAATTATATGTATACTGAATTACAAAGTTCAAATTATTTCGTGTATATAAGTGAGTTTTAGAATTTTAGCTATGAATTATAATTAAAATCCGATATTTGAAAAACATTTTTTTTTTGTTGAAATCTTAAAATATTTTTTTTTGCTTTTCTAAAAAAGTAGTAGATTATTCATACTCACAATACAAGCAAAATGTTTTTTGTATCATTCGAATCGGATGCTGCGTTTTCTCAAGAACTAAAATTTTAGCACTTTTTATTCCATATCTTCGAAGCCGCTGCACCTGTCTTCCTCAAAAACTAATCAGCGCGTCTTCTCATAAATATGTATCGAATGTTTTTTGAATCATTGAAATCGATTAATCCGTACGCCCGAAATCGTCGACGAAACATCGACATACACACACATACTCATCCATTTTTTTTTAGGTATGCCAAATGTTCAGAAACCTCTGATACGAAAAGATATGCAAAAATTTTCATTTTCGGTTTTTGGACGATTACTGTAACTTACCCGTCGGGAAGATAAAAATTATAATTTTTACATATCTTTACGTTTCAAAGGTTCCGAATACCTAAATTTTGGCATATTTTAGAAAAAATGAATGTATGTATGTGTATGTTCGGACACAAATTGTCATCGACGAATTTGGGAACACAAATCAAATGATTTGAATAGTTTAAAAATCATTCGATTCGTATTAACGGGGAGGCGTGCTGATTATTTTTGTGCAAAGGTAGGCCGACCGTTTCGAAACTACGGGACAAAAAGTACCAAAAATGACAATTCAGTTTTTGAGATAACGGAGCGTCCAATTTGAATGATTTAAAAACCATTTTATTTGAATTGACGAAATAAAGAGCTGATAACATTTTTGAGAAGGCAGGTCTAGCGGTTTCGGAGATCCAATAAAAAAAGTAAAAATAAGGATATATGGCGAACAAAAATTAACATTGGACATAAGCACATCAAAATATTAGATATTTTTTAGAGATCTCATAATAGAAACAAATTTTGTAAACATTTGTATGGGTACCGTACCAATGTTTATCCGTTAACTTTGGAACGTGGGGCAATTATTCGGGATCCAAATCTGATTTCGGCATACTTAAAAAAATGAGTGTGTGTGTGTATGTGCGGATACAATTTTTCGTTGACGATTTAGAGAGTACTGCTCATCCGATTTGAATGATTCTACTAATGGAGATTGGGGCTGATTAGTTCTTGGAAAAGGTCAATCCATTTTAATGGCTTTTTAATTAATTATTTAATTTTAATTTTCATTCTCTGCACTCTTTGTTTCGTATCTCAGAAACGGCTGGACCGACCTTTCCCAAAAACTAATCGGCATATTTTTCTATCAATAGGAATCGATTTTTTTTAATTTATCCACACTTACAAACATACATACATACACATATTCATTTTGTCTGAAAGATGCCAAAATGTGCAGAAACCTCTGAAATGTAAAGATATGCAAACAGTTTCATTTTCTTTTTATGAACAATTACTATTACTTACCCTACGGAAAGTTAATAATTACAAATAACAATAATAAAAATTGAGATAGAAAATAAGAAAATTTCAAGTTGATCCGATGATTACTTTGAGTTATTGGACTCTTACCAGCGCGTTGACGCATGTGGAAGGATCGATACTTATCCTCAAGATAATTCTCCCTCACCTCCTGATATTTTAAAAGCTTTTAAACCGATTTACGACGATCTCAGCAATGACAATTTACTTTCAAGATGTGTAGTTCAAGACTGAATTCATAATCAGAAAAAATTAAAAGGTTCAACCAACTAGTGTAAAAAATATGCCTAAAAACCGAGAATACTAGTTCTACTATCGTACAAATTGCTGAATACATATACATGATCATTATTATTGATTATGGATACCCTGGGACCTAATTGTGGGTATAATTCCCATTGGTATGCTGAAAAATTGGATGCTGCACGTGTGAAAGTGGCAGATCAGCGCGCCAACGAGAATACTCGGGAGGCCAGAATGCTTCGTAGGCAACAGCAAATGAAAATTTTGGAAACTTGCACAATGACTGAATGAACTATTATATGGCTCAGAAATAGATGACTCGGTTTAAGTAATTCAATAATTAGAATTTCTGTACGTAAATCCAATGTGAAACTTTAAACGCGTTTTTCTCAAAACTATGTTTTTTGAACCGGTGACCACAGTAACTCAAAAAACCGCTTAGTAAATGTTAATAAAATTTATACAGCTTAAATGAATAAAACTCATTCATTTGTCGCTAAGTTATACCAAAACATTTTTTTTTAATTTTCAAATTTTTTTCCATGCTATTTCCATACAAAACTTTGATTGAATTGCGCTCTATCTAAACGTTAATATTAAGAGCTAAAACTTTCAGAGAATTGTTTTTTCTCTATTTGGAACCATTTGAGCCCCTGGAAGCAAGGAAATTCGAAAATGACCATCTTAAGGACCACCCTAATATATATATATATATATATATATATATATATATATATATATATATATATATATATATATATATATATATATTAGGGTGGTCCTTAAAATAGTTATTTTCGAATTTCCTTGCTCCCAGGGGCTCAAATGGTTCCAAATAGATAAAAAACAATTCTCTTAAAATTTTAGCTCTTAATATCAACGTTTAGATAGAGCGCAATTCAATCAAAGTTTTGTATGGAAATAGCATGGAAAATTTTTCAAAAATTTTAAAAATGTTTTTTAAATGTAATTTAGCGAACAAATGAATGAATAAAACTCATTCATTTGTCGCTAAGTTATACCTAAAACATTTTTTTTTAATTTTCAAAAATTTTTCCATGCTCTTTCCATACAAACTTTGATTGAATTGCGCTCTATCTAAACATTAATATTAAGAGCTAAAACTTTCAGAGAATTGTTTTTTATCAATTTGGAACCATTTGTGCCCCTGGGAGCAAGGAAATTCGAAAATGACCATTTTAAGGACCACCCTAATATATATACATATTAAAACAGTATCTATGCCTCAAAATAAAATTGAAGTGTGTTATAATATTGAAATAGAAGTTTTTTAATACATGCATATAAAAATAAAGTTTTGTTTATCTATCTGTTTGGGCTAATCTTCAGATTCTTTTATTTTTTAATTTCTATTACATATTGAATAACGTATTAAGGCTGCATATTTTTCAACTTTTCAATTGGCAATATCTCACAAACAGTGATTCTACTGAAGCAGAAGTTTAAAAACTTTTTAGAAAATTTTATAATAAAATGTAATAAAAAAAAAGTGCCTTACATATTTTTTTGGTAGTTCATATGGTTTCAGTGGAAAATACCAATTTCCAGCTAAAAATTATTCAGAAGTTTAATGTTTATTTTGACTGAGCCATAGTACAGTATGGACATACTGCACATGTTAGTATTGAAGTCTAATAAAATACAATTATGTATTTTGATTAATTATGAATATAAAGTTATTAGTGTATTTATCCTGACATAGCAATTAGTAATCAATCAATAAAACGGAAAAATGTGTTACAGCAGATATGTAAATTGTTTGTGTAGTGTTTTTATAAGATGATATAAACAAATTGGAATATAAAGATTTAGCTACACAAGTAAACACCCAAAGTAAATTACTTGGCTTGTTAAAATGTAAAATGTTAAAAAACGTAAATAAAAGATGATAGTCTACATACCGAAAAATATGGCATTGCAATAGCAAGACATTGCATTAGTCGTTCCCTGTGGTCATCCTCTTCTCTATTAACTTCAAAGTTTCCATCGAGTTCACTTTGTTCAACAACAATGTCTACGAGTTGCTTGTGACCAGAAACAGCTTTACCTAAGCGAGTTGATGAGAGAATGGACATCAGTGTATGAAACTCTTCACATGTCACATCCTAAAATGTAAAAAAATATGTGCATAAACATACATATATACACACACACAAATATACATACATATTATATTATATATATATATATATATATATATATATATATATATATATATATATATGTTTGTTTTATATTTGAAAAGGAAAAATTTGATCAGGAAAGAAAACCCGACTTATTTTTATATATATACATAGAAGATAATCTATTTGCAATTATTTAAAACAATTGCAATTATTGATTATTTTTATTACTCGAATTTTTAATTGCGGTGCGTGAAGTTCCAGCAATATGCATTAGGGCACGATGCCATGCACCACTAATATTCTTAGCTATAAACCTTGCGGAGCCCGAGGCCTTTCCAACGAATGCAAAATTGTCGAAATCGGTTCGTGCGTTCTGGAGTTATTTCATCAGGAAGGAAAACCCGACTTATTTTTATATATATAGAAGATATATATATATATATATATATATATATATATATAGTCATGGATTTTTTCAATAAATTGATACATGTTGATCTTTTCCGAACAATAAATCCAATAAATAAATGTTTTTTGTAGATGTTTAACTACGACGATCCGGAATTAGATATGTTCCATCATCAGGTTTCTTCCGTCTAAAATAATTTTTTATATACACTAACACTATTAATAACAAAGAATACAGTTACAAAAACTTTTTTTTATAAAGCAATGGATTATGTACCAGGCAAAAGTAAAAAAAGGAATATATAAAATAAATAAAATTGAATATCAAACATTATTTACCTACAATATCGATCTATGTGCTTTAAAAAAAAAGTGATATGGACATATAGATGAAGTGGAAAGTGGTATTTAGCATTAAGTTGTTAAATACAGTTAAAAATTAGTGATATAGACATAGATTAGAAGTTAAAAGTGGCAATTAGCCTTAAGGGATTAAAAATTAGCTATAGTTATTTTCATAATGAACATTTTTTACCAAAAATATTTTTTATGATAATACGTTTGCCGGGTCAGCTAGTATAAATATGTATATATATATATATAAATATATATATATATATTTATTAGGCTTGCACCAAATATTCGATTACTAATCGGTATTCGGCACCCGCTCAGCGACAGCATTGTTGGTGTTTTATCTTTTATGCGAAAAAGCTAGCGATGGATATGTCTTTGGTTGTTTAGTTTACATAATGTGATTTGAATAAATGACTTCATTATCTTATATATAAAACTAGAGCTCTCTTTCAAATGTCTTAGTAAAACTCGAAAACGGCTAAACCGATTTGGCCAGTCTTAGTCTTGAAAAATTCGTGCCGATCCAGAGATGGTCGGAAAGGTGAGATATTATTTCAAAATCGCGTAGAAACTTTACATTTTTAGTTTGAAATTTTTTGTAGAAGCGTAATTTAAGTTCATTCATTTGTAGTTCAATTGCGTTTAATAGGATGTTTTAAGTGAATATTATTCAATTATGATTGAATTGTAGTAAGTAGATTTGTTTGTAGTTTTATTTATATACAAAAACGTCAGTAAACCGGCCGCAAGTGTTACTAGAGACTCAAAATATCAACTTTTTTGAAATGTTAATATGAAAACGCACTTTTTGGCATAGTTTTCTCAAATACGGTGCTCTGAAAGATCTCATTTGTATAATTATACACTCATTGGTATTTATAAAACAATTTCTAGGTTCTATTATTTTTTATTTATGTTATTTAAATTCAGAACCTAAATTTGGTATCGATCAAATGGATTTTGTCGAATAACATTTTCCCAGTTATAATTTCCCAGAATTTATCGAAGAATAGATAGTAATATATGGAGGTCCGGGGTTAAAAAGGTCCAGCACCGAAAGGTCAAAAATCAGTGAAGTTAAGCATTGTTTAACAACAATATTTGAAAGTAAAGGAAAAAAGATGTATAACCTTGATTTGAAAACGGTAATCTTTGAAATGGGGGAGATAAACGGTAAATTTTCTTCCGTTGATAGTTTTTTTAGCATTAGTTAAAAATGTAATTATTTTGTAAAATACTTTTAAAATTATAATAAGGCTTTAAACCTTTTTGCCACCTGCCCGTTTCAAGTTACCCCGCCTATAGGGTAAAAAGGTCTAGATAACAAATTTTTGAAAGACATCAAAAAAGCACATTTCTACAATGATGAAGTAGAAGGCAGTTTACTGAACGTAGTCAGATAATTGTTCAGTTGATATGTGTTATTTGTTGTGATATAATTATTATGGTTTTCACAATACAGTTTATATTTGCTCAAAGTCAAATTGGACCTTTGTGCCTGGCCCTGCTCTACATATATACCATTTATTAAATTTACTTTAATTCATCGAATGTTACTTGAAACTTTTCAAAAAGCAGGTCAAAGAAGAAATACTTAATTCATTTTCTATCTCTCCTCGCAAAAATTTGAAAATTTTGTATAAGTTCAGTAGTATTATTTACAATTATACACAAAATCTAGAATCCAACAAGAATCTGAAAAACTTGAAACGTAATCAATAAGTCAAAAGACCAAAAAAGACTTGGTTAGATTATTCTATACTATGTTTTCTATAGAAAGTGTATAAATCTTCCAGTTTGATTGTGTTGACAAAATATAGACAAGCTAATGGGGTTTATTGTTTTTATAATACTTCATTGTATGGAGCATTGAAACACATCCTTATACACTTAATTAATTAAGTATTAATTAATAAATTAATTAAGTATTAATTAATTAAGTATTAATTAATTAATTAAGTATTAATTAATTAATTAAGTATTAATTAAGTATTAATATTTTTGATTCTCTAGAAATTGTTTAGAATTCAATATGAATCATTCAATGGTTACACGCATGTGTTGTATCAATACTATAAAGTCATTCATTATACTCAATCTAAGCAATTCCAAATAAGGAGCTATTATTATTGGTTCTTTATTGCAAAATATACAAATAATATGTTTGATCATTTTTATTTGTTTTATTGATTAGCATTCCTAATATATAAGAAATAATATTGAGTTTATAAAAAAATATTAAATGTTTATAAAAGAATCGCTTTTTTCATTATTTTACCATTTATTTCCCTATCACATGTGGTATTCAAGTATTCTGTATTCGGCCGAATAGTATAAATGGTGCCAAATATTCTAAATAACAAAAAGTAGCCGAACAGTGGTTGCTAGCCTAGGTATAAAACTTGAATAAATATGTAGCGCGTTAGTAATATAACAGTTACTGATAGTAATTACATTAATACAAACAAGCCTAAGCGCCAAAAACCTGTCGAATATTCAATATTCAGTCTTTGGAGCATGCCAAATATACTATTCATTGCAAGCCTAATATATATATATATATATATATATATATATATATATATATATATATATATATATATATATATATATATATATATATATGATGATAGTTTTGTCAACACTGATACATACTATATATATATATATATATATATATATATATATATATATATATATATATATACTAGCTGACCCGGCAAACGTTGTTTTGCTAAGTAAGGTATATTCTAAACAATTTCTAGAGAATGAAAAATATTAATACTTTAAGTGTATACGGATGTGTTGTATGAATGCTATATACAATGGGGTATTATAAAAACAATAAACCCCATTAGTTAATATTTTGTCTGGAAGTTTTATACATTTTCTATAGAAAACATGGTATAATCCAATCCAAGTCTTTTTTGGTCTTATTGATTACGACTTATTGATTACGTTTCAAGTTTTTCAGATTCTTTTTGGATTCTGGATTTTGTGTATAATTGTAAATAATACTACTGACCTTATACAAAAATTTCAAATTTCTGTGATGAGAGATAAAAAATGAATTAAGTATTTCTTCTTTATCTTGTTTTTTGAAAAGATTCAAGTAACATTCGATGAATTAAAGTAAATTTAATAAAAAGTATATATGTAAAGCAGGGCGAGGCACGAAGGTCTAATTTGACTTTGAGCCGTATAAACTATGTTGTGAAAACCATAACAATTATATCACAACAAATAACACATATCAAACGAACAATTATCTGACTACGTTGTTAGAAAACTACCTTCTACTTCATGTCTTTCAAAAATTTGTTATCTAGACATTTTTATCCTATAGGCGGGGTAACTTGGAACGGCCAGGTGGCAAACAGGTTTATGTCTTATTTCAATTTTAAAGGTATTTTTCAAAATATTTACATTTTTAACTAATGCTAAAAAACTACCAACGGAAGAAAATACTTTTATTATGGATTTTCAAAGATTACCGTTTATCTCCCGATAGCAAAGCCATAAGAATCAAGGTTATAGCTGATTATACATCTTTTTCCTTCTACTTTAAAATATTGTTGTTAAACAATGCTTAACTTTACTGATTTTTGCATATAGGTGGTGGACCTTTTTAATCCCGGACCTTCATACATTACTATCTATTCTGCGATAAATTCTGAAAGGTTCTGAATTTAAATAACATAAATAAAAAATAATATAACCTAGAAAATGTTTTATAAATACCAATGAGTATATAATTATACAAATGAGATCTTTCAGAGCACCGTGTTTGAGAAAAATATGCCAAAAAGTGCATTTTCATATTAACATATCAAAAAAGTTTACATTTTGAGTCTCTAGTAACACTTGCGGCCCGTTTGCTAACGTTTTTGTATATAATTAAAACTACAAAAAAAAACTACTTACTACAAATTTATCATAATTAAATAATATTCGCGTAAAACATCCTATTAATCGTAATTGAACATCATCTGTCAAAAGCATTTGACATTTCACGAAATTGCCACCGTCCATTGTTTTATTTAAATTACGTTTCTACAAAAATTTTCAAAGTAAAAATGTAAAGTTTCTACGCGGATTTGAAATAATTTCTCACCTTTTGGACTTTCTCTGGATTGGCACGAATTTTTCAAGACTAAGACTGGCCAAATCAATTCAGCCGTTTTCGAGTTTTATTCGGACATTTGAAAGAGAGCTCCATTTTTATATATAAGATATATATATATATATATATATATATATATATATATATATATATATATATATATATATATATATATATGATAGTTTTGTTGACGTTGATACATATTTGGAATATTTTTGCAGCCCAATCGTCGAACTAAAAAATAAATTAAATAGAAGAATTATTTATTCCATTAAACGTTTTGACACTTGTGTGCCATCATTCAGTAATCTAAAAAACATTACATAAATACAAAGTTGATAATAAATATAAATATATAAAAAGGAGAAAACTATACATAACATACCAAACCAGGAAAAACAACAAAAAAAATTAATTAATGATGTAAAATTTATTGAACACTAAATTTGTGTAAAAGAATAATATACTAATATATTAATAACAAGGAATTGAAGGCGCACATATTGCTCTAATGTAAGGATAAGAATTATCATTCAAAACAAAACGAATCAAAGATAGTTTTTTTTTCCAAAAAGTCTTATCACTTAACAAAATCCTATATTTCATGTTTTTAATAGCGGTGCATTATGAACACTGATCAAGGTTACGCAGCAAGTATAGTGATGGAGTGGGAGTGCAGTGTGAGAAACGAAAGAGGAATGAGAAATATAACGAACGAAAGATTCTAAAACTGTATAGAATTACTTTTCATGAAATTTATAATGACTTTGTAACTGTCATGTAAGAGTTGAGAGGTATTACCTTTGTTGACACAAGAAGTATTAAGGGATATAAGTAAAGACTCAACGATCTTTCTAAGGTCACAATTTTTTTCTCAATGTATAGGATGGAAGGATTTGACATGTTAAAATTGTGGTTCAAGTTAATCATACGTTCTGAAAGCATAGTTTTGAATTGATTTGGGTTTCTAGAATTATACATATGTTGATTAACCCTCTTGTATATATATTGGAAACTTTCACCAATGTAACAACTATTGCAATCATAGCAATCCAACCTGTAAACTGAATCAATAACCCTATCAGCGAGAAATTGCTTAAGAAAGGTAAACACATAACACCTTTATATTTATCTAAAGAGGAAGAATTAGATTTTGACAAAGAATTGTTAAGGTAGGAAGAACTGTTTAAATTGCTTTGTAAAAACTCTAATCTATTTTTAATGACTTTATTATCTAAATATGAAGGATAAGAATTATTATTCAAAACAGAACGATTTAAAGATAGGTTTTTTTCCAAAAAGTCTCATCACTTAACAAAATGGCCCTATCTATTAAGGAGATGACAACTGATATTTTGATAGATCGATCTATCTTTAGTTCACAATCTTTGTAAAACTGTGCCAATGAAAATTGTATTTGACTTTGGGTGCCTAGCTTTTATTTCAGAGAATCTCGAATTGAAAATGAGACATTGAGTATTTGACCATATAGGTAAAAGAGGTTAAATGAAATTAAAAACAATAACAAATATTTCTGTATCAAGACAATAACTTGAAAATTTTGAACATATTTCGATAGTTGGTTGTTTGATATGTGTATATGCTATAATGTATATGCAGTTTTTGATTTTTCACAGTATATTTACTCAAAGTCAAAAGTAAAAAAAAAACTGATATGAGATATTTCACTTGATGATGCATCAAGCTCAAAAATCAATAACAAAAGTAAGTGCACTATATGCCACCATCTTGTAACAAAATCGCAATTTTGTTTAGATTTTTATTTATATGTATTACATAGCCATTCGTGATCTGATACAGCTAGTAATTATATAAAACAAACATTTTTAAAACTATAATTTGGAACGTTTAAAAATATATATTGAACTAACAATTTGAAACTACTTTTATGAAGAGAGTTCTTAAATTGTAAGAACTGAATAAATCGTGTGTTTTACAAATATGTATGCTCCCGGCAGTGCTATTTTTGTACATTGCTCATATTCTTTTAATAATATATATGTTGTAAGAATTTTTGTAATGGAATTGAAAATTTTCACAAAACTAATATTATAGTTGATCACACAGGTCTTGACTGGTTTACGTAACTATGTCCCGGGACAAATTTTGCCACCTAACTTACCAAAGTAAAATATTTAAAAAAATATATTAGTTTATTAATATCAGTTGTGTTTGCTCCAAGTTTGTAATAACTTACTAAACATTGTGCACTCAAGTTAAGTAGCAAATGGATATGTTATTTAAATATGGAATTGTTAAAAATGAATCAATATCAAAAAAAAATATTTTTAATAAGTTTAACTAATGCATTACTATATATAAAAATTTTAGTATCTATTATTTTAAATTTGCACAATATTTAACTCTGAAATTGGTATTTGTATTCAATATATTAAAACTAACCTGCAAAACTTTTTTACAGTTTTCTATTAATTGATCTTCAATATCTTTAGTCAGAATATCACTACCAAGCTGTTTTATTTTAGTTGATAAAAACTTGATGCACCGTTCACGTACTATATCCTCTCCATGCAGTATTTGATTAAATATCCCAGCAAATGCACCCTATATAATTTATAATTTTAATTATATATTATGTGATTTTAATATGCCTACAAATAATGATTCATGAAGAGTTATTTAAATACAGAAATAATTTAAGTCTACTTATAAACATATCAATTTATAATGTAAAGGGTATGGGCGTGTTTCCATACAGAATTGGCCCCACCCTGGTGTTTAAATAATTTTGATGCCATTTTATAGGTATTTTCGAGAAAATCCGATATACCAAATTTCAAATCCGTAGCTCATCATTTGGCCGAGATATCAGTGAAAACATGTGAAAGTGGCCCCTTTTTTCAAACTCACTTTTTGTAGGAAATATGAAAGATATCGAAAAAATGTTAACGTCATTCTATTTATACTGATCTTGTCTATGTTGTTCATAACAAATAATCTAAAAAAATTATTTATTAGTGCGAGAAAAAGTGAAAATAATTTTTTGTTTAGAATTTTCGGATAGTGCGGTTGTTTGGACTAATTTTTAATTAGCACCATTAGAAAGGCTATTGAATTTTCTTTTGGTGTGCAAAATTTTGTTTTATTTCATGTAGTAGAACACATTCAAAAGTAGAAAAAACCTGAGCAAGTACACGCTCACGCTCATATAGCACCCGTGTAAGTCGTCTCTCATTCGCAACGACTAGCAACAGCATTGCTCGCCGCGCGTCTTGATAAATTAAAACATTTCTAATAAAACACAAGATATATACATTTATATTTTAAATAATCATATATTCATATGTATATGTCTAATAATAACTATATCGTTAAATAATTAAATATATATTATTTATATATTGCACAAGTATATTATATGATTTAATCATCATTAATAATTAACTAATTAATTATTACTTGTTAATTAAGTATTAATTATTAGTAAATATTAATTAATAATTATCACTAAATAAATAAAAAATAGGTTGATAAAAAATATACATAATAATAGTATATCGGTATATGATTTCTATTCATACTATAGCAATGTATAGAATTGAAAGTATACTAAGTTAGTCTGAAAATATATTAAATAATATCTTTAAGTTTTATAAATTAAATAATATAGAAAATATAGTAAATAGAATATCTCTTCCTATGATTACTAATAACAATTGTTGAACTACTGTACTATTGTGTATCATTCTTAATTAAAACGATATTTGAAATTTCGCGGCATTATAATTATATATTGTATTGTTATAAACTATAACTGAATTATATACTAATCAAATTAAATTGACACTAAAATATAAGAAAAGTGCAAAATCGGCTGGTATAAAGGTGTGGACCACACAAAAATTAAAAAAAAAACAATATTTATTCAATAATTATTAAAAACTTCGTGATTAGTTGAATTCGAAAAATATATTAATTTTATTCTATCTGTATTTTATCTTTTGTGTGGATTATGCATAGACAATAGTGCAGTAGTTCAATAATTATTATGAGTATTTATAAGTAGAGTAATTCTATTCAATAGAATATATTTTGAATATATAATCTTTAATTTAAATAATAATATATATTATTTAATTTAAAAAAAAAAAACTGCAAGATATTAATATATTTATGTCTAACTTAGTATACCATACTTGCATTTGTATACATTGCTGTAGCATGTATAGTAATTCTATTATTAAGTATATTTAGTAATACTATTATTATGTATATTTTTTATCAATCTATATTTTATTTATCTAGTGGTGTTAATAATTAATAAATTATTAATGATGATTAAATCATATAATATACTTGTGCATTATATAAATAATATATATTTAATTATATAAAATTGTGTTTTATTAGAAATGTTTTAATTTATCAAGACGCGCGGCGAGCAATGCTGTTGCTAGTCGTTGCGAATGAGAGACGACTTACACGGGTGCTATATGAGCGCGAGCGTGTACTTGCTCAGGTTTTTTCTACTTTTGAATGTGTTTTACCACATGAAATAAAACAAAATTTTGCACACCAAAAGAAAATTCAATAGCCTATCTAATGGTGCTAATTAAAAATTAGTCCAAACAACCGCACTATCCGAAAATTCTAAACAAAAAATTATTTTCACTTTTTCTCGCACTAATAAATAATTTTTTTTAGATTATTTGTTATGAACAACATAGACAAGATCAGTATAAATAGAATGACGTTAACATTTTTTCGATATCTCTCATATTTCCGACAAAAAGTGAGTTTGAAAAAAGGGGCCACTTTCACATGTTGCCATGTCACGGCCAAATGATGAGCTACGGATTTGAAATTTGGTATATCGGATTTTCTCGAAAATACCTATAAAATGGCATCAAAATTATTTAAATACCAGGGTGGGGCCAATTCTGTATGGAAACACGCCCATACCCTTTAGGAAAATATTTTTAAAATTCATCCCAGCTCAAAATTCAATTACAATTACTAATACTTTAGCGGTTACGTTTGTAAATCAAAAATTGGAAATATGAAATTAAAAATTTAAACATAATTTGTTATTTGCATCCCAAGAAAAATAACTTTATCTACAAACCTGTGGATCCGATTTTAAAACTGCAAGTAATGAATTTTGGACAACAATCAACTCAAGAGAATCTTTAGATTGTAGAAGTTGTGCCAAAATATCAGCAACCTTTTGAGTATACTCTTTATTATCTTTGCAAAATGCAGGTAGATCTTTGGTAGCTTGTTTTCTAATCTATAATACAAAAAATGTAATTCAATTCAAACTTCAGTTACCAATTAAATTTATAATACTTACTGCGACATCAGTATCACTACAAAGATTTAGTTGCGCCCCCAATGCCATATCAGCATACATAGGAAAATGTTTAAACAGTCGAGCTATAAATTGTGAAGCTAACCTTTTTTCTTTCTGCTCTCCTTTGACAGCCTCAAGAATTGCTAAATACTCTGCTTCATGCTTATTTTGGGAAAAAACAAGTATACGTTTCAATTTTAGCTACTCCTATATATAGATAAAACAAAGGATATCTTACTTGGTCAATTTTGTCTTTAGCGGATTCCAAAATATCAAAATATTTATAAAGCTTTTCAATATTATCCACCGACATATTAATAAACAGCAATAAAATTATTGTAAATTAATTCTCACAACTACAGAAAATAAATGAATTATTTTTCGAAGAAGAAAATCACGAAATTCATCAAATGCTTATATGTCTAATTGTTTTTTAAGAAATTTCGAACGAAAACCTCAGATTAAACCCACTCGAAGAGCAAATGCATTGACTAAATTCTGTAAAATGGCGAATGTGCAGTGCTGCCATGGGTTTGTTCGGAGTGCAGTCACCGACAGCGACCCGCAACCGGCAAACGCATGCGCAGATCGTTTTGACCGTTCGATGTGTCCAAACCATTTATGCTTATTTATCTATGCGGACGGTCGTGTGAAAGTGAATGCTCTCGCGTCAAATTATTATACTGTGTATGTAAACCATAATCAAAGTATGAAATTAATGTAGTTTTTACAAACATTAAATAAGTGATATTTTATAACAGTGTACTTAACTTGTATAGTAATTAGTGTGTTGACATTACAAATTTTTGTGTCACCCTTATGGGGGCACAATGAACAAAGTTTCTCTTACCAAAACAAATAATATATTACATGAAGATTTGCAAACATGTTCGGATCAAATCACAGAAAAATTAGGTCTCAATTTATCAAATAATTTGAACGGAAATTCGATTAATTGTCAAGAAAATATGGATATTGAACAAACTATTCCACAACCGATGCCTCGGAAAAGCGTGAAAATTCATATAGAAAATCCAACTAAGAAGACCCGGACCCCATCAGAAAACTCACTTTTGAACGATTCTTAATCTTGTTTAAATAATGTTCATCCTGTGTCGATTTCACACAACCAACAACCATCGACCTACAAACAAGGATCAAAAGTAATGAGCTTTGAAGAATGGATCGAGGTTAAGTACAAAAAACATAAAGCAAATAAACCTGCAGAGTATTGGTTAAACCCTACATTAACCAGCAATTCCTTTGAAATTTTAAATGAAGTTCAAGAGCCAACAGAGAAAGAAGTAGTATTAAAACCACCGCCAATTTTTGTCCATGATGTTAAAGACATCAGACCTTTGTCAATTTTACTAGAAACACACGCCAAAGGTAACTATACTAACAAAATTGTTGGTACAGATCAAGTCAGAATACAGTTGAGTTCTGCACAGCTATATAACAAAATTTTGAACCTTTTAAAAATTAGAAACGCCCAGATACACTCTTTTCAAAGCAAAACCAACCGAACATTTAAAGTAGTCATTAGAAATATTCACTTCAGCACCGATATAAAAGACATCAAAAATGAAATTGAATCTCATGGACACAAAGTTGTGTATATAGCCAACATCAAGCACAGATTTACTCGTGCTCCACTGCATATGTTCATGGTAGAATTAGAACAAAACATTAACAACAAAGACATCTTCAACATAGAATTTTTCAATAGAATTAGAGTTAAAATTGAGCCAAAAAATCCAACAAGAGAAATTGTACAGTGTACAAAATGTCAACGTTATGGTCACACTAAATCGTATTGTTTCAGAGACGCAAGATGTGTGAAATGTGCTGGCGATCATACCAGTAAAAAATGTGAATGGACAGATCGCATCAACAAAAACGTCAAATGCGTACTTTGTAATGAAAACCTCCCAGCCAACTACAAAGGTTGTAAGGAATACAAACAATTATTTGCTCAAAGATTTCCCTCAATTCGCACCAGATATTATCCAACAGAAAATACTATAAACAGACCGTCATATGTTCAATCTAATAAATCGTACGCGCAAGCCACAAACCCAATAGACCAAATTATCCCAGATCCAAATGTCTGCAACAAGCTAATTCCGACATTGCTGAGCTAAAATCTGTGATGAAAGATTTAGTAGGCCAAATTAGTATCATACTAAATTTACTAACCACCGTCGTTTCAACATTAAAATGTATAGTAACTCATTAATAATTGGAATCTGGAATGCCAATGGTCTTGCTCAACACAGGCAAGAATTAGAAATATTTTTAATAGAATACTAAATAGATATTATGTTGATCTCAGAAACCCACTTTACAAACTTAAACTATTTCAAATTAAACAATTATAATTTTTACAATACTAATCATCCGGATGGAACAGCTCACGGTGGAACTGCTATAATAATAAGAAAAAACATCAAACATTACCAAAACAAATCTATTAATGAGCATTTTATACAAGCCACATCACTAACAATTCAACAACAAACTGAAAAATTAACAATATCTGCAATTTACTGTCCACCAAAACACAAGATCACCTGTGAACAATTTGAAAATTTTTTCGGAACACTTCAGAGAAAATTCATCGCGGGAGGAGACTTTAATGCGAAGCATACCTTTTGGGGATCTCGACTGGCAAATCCAAGGGAGAACGAACTTTATAAAACCGTCCAGAAACACGGGCTAACGACCCTATCCACTGGCGAACCCACATACTGGCCGAGTGATCTGCGCAAATTACCTGATCTATTGGATTTCTGCGTCTTGAAAGGTATAGCAAATGAACACATTCAGGCTAAATCTTGTCTTGATCTAAGTTCTGACCACACACCGATAATAGTCACATACAGTACAAAAATTTTAGAAGACAAGAAAAATGATTTTTTAACTAACAAGTATACAAACTGGGAATTATTCCGGAATATTGTAGAGCAAAATCTTAACTGTAATATACCATTGAAAAACAAACATGATCTGAAAAATGCTGTTGATAAATTTAGTGCAATTGTAATAGACGCAGCTAGAAAAAGTACCCCCCCACAAATTAAAAAAAGAAAAAGATGGCAGCTAACCAGATCTCCACAAGACAAAACGCAATTGAACAGAATGTCTAAATTGATTAAACAACAGATAACAACGTTCAAAAACGACCAATTTTAAGACTTTTTATCCCATTTAACAATATCAGATCATTTGATTTGGAAAGCCACAAAAAACTTAAAACGTCCTGCCATTACTATACCTCCAATTAGAAAACCGAATAACACTTGGGCACGCAGTGATTTAGAAAAAGCAGAATATTTCTCGACTTACTTCAAGAAAGTTTTTACGCCAAATTCTTCAAAATCCTCGGAACAAGAAGAAAAATATATTTTTGATTCTTTGAAAGAAGTTCAGTCAAATTTTTCATCAAACATCATTATCAAAGTTCCAGAAATTACAAATGAAATCCGAAGGGCAAAATCTTCAAAAGCACCTGGCGTAGACAACATTAATATTAATATACTTAAAGAGCTTCCCTACAAAGCCTACTGTTTCATAACAATCCTGTTTAACAGTATAATAAGACCTAAATCATATCCCGATCAATGGAAAATTGCTTAAATCATAATTATTCCGAAGCCTGGTAAAAATCCGAATGAAGTCCAAAGTTATAGACCAATTAGTTTACTTCCAACGTTATCCAAAATATTTGAAAAGGTCTTAATTAGTAAAATAAAACCATTTATTTATGATAGCAACGTTATTCCTGAGCATCAATTTGGTTTTTTAGAAAAACATGGCACGCCAGAGCAAATTCATAGAATTGTCGACAATATAAACAAGGCTTACCAAAACAAGAACTACTGTTCAGCTGTTTTCCTCGATATTAGTCAGGCATTTGATAAGGTGTGGCATCCCGGCCTACTTTACAAAATAAAAAATGCATTGCCGATTGATATATACCTAATAATAAAGTCCTACCTGGAAGGTAGAACATTCTTTGTTAGTGTAAGGGGTGAAACATCCTCATTACATCCTGTCAGATCGGGAGTGCCTCAAAGTAGTGTCATTGGGCCACTATTATACCTCACATACACTGCGAACCTACCACAGAAAGAAGACATTTTGACAGCAACATATGCAGATGACACAGGCATAATGGCAACACATAAAGATCCCATAATCACATCAAAAATGCTCCAGGATCATCTTGACGTGGTACAAAAATGGTTAAGCTTGTGGAGAATAGAAGTTAACAGCAGCAAGTCAAAACACATCACTTTCACTCTTTGCAAAGAGACTTGTCCTGCAGTAAGACTTAATGACGAAATTATAGATCAAACAGATACAGTCAAATATCTAGGTTTACCTGGATAAGAGACTAACCTGGAAAGAACACATTAAGAAAAAAAGAAAGCAGCTTGAAGAAACCAGAAGAAGATATCATTGGCTCCTTGGACGAAAATCAAAACTTGACATACGGCATACAGCTATGGGGATCAACTTCCAACTCAAACGCTTTAATAATTCAAAGATTTCAAAAGAAGTTATTGAAAGAAATTTTGAAAGCACCTCGCACAAATCGCTTACTCGCACAAATATAGAAATCGCCTAGCTGATCACCCGAACTTGCTCGCGAGAAAACTTCAGAACAACTCTACCAGGGCCCGATTAAAAAGAAAATTTCTTCTGCACTAATCAACAATAGATAAGACTTTCGACAAATCACTGACAATGGTCAGATGATTTGTATTTTATTTATTTGTGTATGTTTACTTATCTATGGCCAACGCCTTCATGTCAAATATTTTACTTGTTGTCCGTTTCAGGACAGTTGTAAAAGTTATTAAAATAATAATAAAAAAATAAAAAACAAAATATATAAAAAATGTATTTGATTTTCAAAGAAATGATACCAACAGATTAATGAAATTCTAACCATTAACAAAATAACTGTTTTAAACGTCAAACCTAGAAACCTAGACAATATTAAGGTGCGTCCACACCTAACGAACGAACACGAACGAACATAAAAGAACGTACCAGAACGAACGGCAATAGCATAGTGTGGACGCCACGACGATCACGAACGAACATAAACAAACATGGCGAGCAATGTTCCGCAACTTGTCGGTACATCAAAGGGAATTGTTCGTTCATGTTTGAACTCGTATGTGCATTGTGGACGGCTACCACGAATGTAGAAAAACATTTTTCTTTTTTGATGTTAAAATGTGCAGTCCTGCATTAGTTTATGTTGTGTTTATTATAAGATATTGCTGTTATTGACAAATTTTGTAAATTTGATGACTTTAAATAATTTTGCCCTTTCCCGCCACTTTAAATAAAAAATCTGACATTTCACGGTACGAAAAGA